GGGGGGGGGTTGGGCTTCATGTCTTGTTTACCAAGTGGGGAAATGGGTGGGGGACCTCGGCTATATCGGAGTCGGCGCCTAACCTCCTTGTTCTCCTGCTACGTCTCCCCCCAGCCCCACGTCTCCCAGTTTTCCTTGTCCCCCAGGAGGGTCCGCACCTCTGACACACATCTTGGCTGCGTCCAGCAGTGAGCTTCGTTGGGTGCTGCGCCGTGGCCCCCTCGTCTGCATGCCATCCCCCCCCCAGGGGTGCGGATTTTTACTGTGTGAAATGGCAAAATCCACTTGCAAACGGTCATTGAAGTGGATTGAAACTGCATTATTTAGCATGTGTGAAAGCAAAAAGCATGTCAGGCTAGGATCTGGGAGATGCGGGTTCAAATCCCCTGTCTTCTGTGTAAGCCTAAAGTAACTCAGCATGTTTCCATAGAAGACTGGGGATTCCTAGTCCAACACTAGCCACTGCACTACACTGTACTACAAATTGTCTGTCACGGAGGGGGCAATCACAGAATAGCCTCCATGGGTTACTGTGGGCAATTGCAACATTCTGGAAGTTTGCCAGCCAAGGATTCTCCTATGATGGAAGGAATTTGTGAATGGGCACTCCCTGCATACACAAAGGTGCCTTTGGGGTTCTTCCAAAGCATCTCTGGCTGTAATGAGGCAGAGGAACTCCAGGAACGGCTCTTTGCTTTGGGGAAGAGATGCTTTGTCAAAGAAGCAAGTGGGTGCCTGGTAACCCATTGGTGGACACCAAGGTTGGGAATCGCTGGGTCAGAGAAAGGCAAACTCCCTCCTGTTTGGCTTTGTTGGCGAGAGTGCAGAAGTTAGATTTCATCTGTTACTCCCAGGAGTTCCCTCCCACCTCATCATGTTGGCTTTCGGTGGTAAAAGCAGCTCAGTTCTTAACACAATCAAAAATTATGAATGGGGGGGGGAAATATTCGTAAGCAGGTAATGAACATTGGCAACATTGCTAGCTAGTATCAGTCCTCAGACGAGTGCCTTTTCAGAGCCCCCGTTTGCTTGCCTCCATACATTTTGGATAAAGAGAGGTACTCTTTGTTTTCTAGGTAATGAGTTTTGAGCTCATCACACTGGACTCTTAAACTGTCTGCATCTGTCATATCCCGAGGCTGAAATGTGTCTCAAGAATTTCAGAGACCTTTCCTTTGACAAATAACTTGACAACCTCCTAAGGAGCATGGATGCTTTTAAAAAACTGAAATACCACAAGCTGTACTCTGTAGGAATTGTTCAGCGTCCACAGCCTAAATATTTAGTGCATAATGCAAATGTTGTTGGGAATCCTGTCCCCCTCCCCCCAAAAAACAAGAAGAGAGAGCATTTTATCAGCCAGATATGCTGGACAGAAATTCAGTACCAAACCAACAATATGTCTAAATAGTCAGTTTAAACAACTGAATATTGGGGGAAAGCCGACAGGAGATTAAAAGTCTCTGGTTCGGGATGGCTCATCTCGGAGAGATGAGGGGGTAACTGTTGCTTTTCTACAGGGAGGTGGATTTGAATTGTCCACTGAGACTATGGCTAGTGATATGGACTGCCTAACAAGGTCTCGAGAGAGCAAGAGGAAGGTTGCAGGCTTAACATGTATGAGGAAATTATAGGTGTTTCTATACAAATGCTAGAAATGTCCGAGGTAAAATCGGGGAGTTGAAGTGCTTGGTGTTGGGAGGGGGGATAGACATTGTGGGTATTTCAGAAACTTGGTGGGATAAGAAAAATCAGTGGGATACGGTGATTCCCGGTTATATATTATATCGGAAGGATAGGGGGTGAAGGGTTGGAGGTGGGGTTGCTCTGTATGTCAGAGAGGGTATACAGTCCAATAAGATTGAGAGGGAAAGTGAATTGGATTCGCTTCTGGAAATGCTATGGGTTGAAATAGTGGGCCCACTGGGAGCTTGTTATTGCCCACCAGATCAAAAGATAGAGGAGGATTATAAAATGAATTAAAGATAGTGGCTAGATTTAAAAAAACCTGTGTCATAATAGGTGATTTTAACTACCCACACATTGATTGGATCAATATGTGTTCTAGTCAGGAAAAAGAGATTGAGTTTCTAGACACTCTTAATGACTGTGCTATGTGTTATGGAACCTACCAGGGGAGAGGTGATCCTAAATTTGGTCCTAAGTAACGCCCAAGACCTGGTGAGAGATGTAAAAGTGATTGCACCACTTGGGAACAGTGACCATAATGTTACTGAGTTCAACATTTGTATAAATAGGCCCAAAAAGACCAACACAACCACTTTTAACTTTAAAAGGGGTAACTTCTCTGATATGAGGGGACATGTGAGGAAGAAAGGAAAAGTAGAAAGGGTCAAAACCATTGGGGAAGCTTGGAGACTATTTAAAACTACAATCCTAGGGGCTAAAAATATATATATACTGCAAGTTAGGAAGGGCACAAATAGGTATAGGAAAAAGCCTGCATGGTTAACTAACAAAGTAATGGAAGCTGTAAAAGGTAAGAAGGATTCCTTTAAGCAGTGGAAATAGTTTCAGTGAGGTTGATAAAAGGGAACACAGGCTGTGGCAAATAAAATGCAAGTCTGTAGTCAGGCAGGCAAAAAGGGAATATGAGGAGCATATAGCAAAAAATATAAAGACCAACAATAAA